GAGGGGGACAGAGAGAGAGAGGGACAGAGACCAGAGAAGGAGGGACAGTGACCCAGAGAGAGGGGGACAGAGACCCAGAGAGACAGAGGAACAGAGACCAGAGAGAAGGGGACAGAGACTCAGAGAGAGAGAGGGGGACAGAGACCAGGGAGAAGGGGAGAGACCCAGGCCTCCAGAAAGGACCAGGACCGGAGTGAGGAAGTCGGCATCCCCCTCCCAGCACGAGGGCGGACCTGGAAGATCTCAAAGCCCGCGATGTCCAGGATGCCCAGGAAGGAGGCGCCTTGGCGGGGGCTGCGGTCCAAGGCCCGGTTGAGGCGCAGAACCAGCCAGCGGAAGAGGCGCTCATAGGTGGCCTTGGCCAGGGCCTCCAGCGCGAAGTCAGCCTGTGGGGCAGGGCTGGTGGTAAGGGCGCAGCCTGCACATCGGCAGACTGAAAGATGTCGGAGGTGGACCAGGGAAGGGCCCCCAGCTCATCCCCCTTAAGGTCGCCTCCCAGCTCCTTGACCAGAAATACCATCAAGAACAATGCCACGAACAACAGGCAGACATTCCTGAAGTCCGACTGTGCGTCAGGTACTATGTGACAGGCTCGGGTGTGTTAGCCCGTGAATCCTCCCCTCACCCCTCAAACCAGTTTCTACTGCACAGCGGTTAAGAGTGTGGACTCTGGAGCCGGACAACCTGGGTTCAAATCCCAGCTCTGCCATTTGGGGGCTGTGTGACCTCAGGCATGTGAATAAACCTCTCTGTGCCTCAGTTTTCTCCTCTGTAAAATGGGAACTAACAACAGTACCCCAGCTGAGCTTGAACCAGGGTCAGTGTGGCTCCCAAACTCCTCTTGTCCCCCCCAGCATCTACTTCATCCGGGCACCTCACTGCCCAGCCTAGGGCCAGCAGAGGCCTCTGCCCAAACACTGGATTCCAAAACCCTCCCTGGCCTGTGGTCACTCCACTCCACCCTCCCTGCCACCACCCTGGTGTGAGCTCCCATGATTGCCAAGACTCTGGCTGCAGCCTCCTTAAGTCTCCCTGCCTCTATCTGCATCCCTGAACCCAGTTCTCCATGCAGCAGCCAAGGGGATCTTTCTGTGAAAGACAAACTGAATTAAGCCACTCCCTGGCTTAAAAACCTCACTGGCCTCCTATGTACTTTGAATACAACTCACCTCCTTACTGTGGCCCCTAAGACCTTGCATGATCTGCCCCTTGCTGTTATTTCTGACTGTGGATTCACCCACCCTCTCTCCCTTCCTCTTTAGCCTCACTGACCTGACCTCCTTC